GCCCTTGGGAGGCTGAGGCAGAAGGATCCTACAAGTTCGAGACCTGCATGGGTTATAAAGTGAGCTCAAGGCCAGCCTGACTGCACAGCAAGACCCTACCTCAAAAATACAAAAAAAAAAAAAAAAAAAAACAAACAAACAAAAAAAAAAAACAAAGAAACAAACAAAAAACTATCAAGATTAACTATCACAGGTTTCTCCCGTTAAAATGGCAGAAAGCACATCTCTACAATTTCTAACTTTGTACATTCTAGATCTAATTACCACGTGAAATTAAAATTTCTCTCCTGAATTTCAAATTCTCAAGGAAAGGATAAACTTGACTGAGGTCAGACCTGATTTTTTAAAAAGTCTACAAAAATTCGTTATTGACTGGTACAGATCCAGGATACTGAATGCAGAATGAGGAATGAAGGTGTTATGCTTTGAATGTGTCCCCTAAAAGCCCATGGAGTAAACTGCTTGGTCATCAAACTATAAAAGTACTGAGAGGAAGGAATGGGACTTTCAGGAAGGTCTAGTGGAAGGAATTTAAGTCACTAGGAACATGCTCTTAGAGGAAATATTGGGAACCCAGAGCCGATATGCTGCCGGACCACAGGCCTAAAAGTAACAGGTCAATTGCCTTGGACTGAAACTTCCAAAACTGTGAGCCAAAATAAATCTTTCTTTTAAAATTAATTTATTTATAATATTTCTTGTAGGGAGAGTAAGCTAACTACAACAGAAGGGTATTTCAGAAGACTGAGAGAAAAAGCATCTCCTCAAAAAGGGTACTTCAGGTAGGTGACTCAATATATGATTGCTGGGGCTGGGGATTTAGCTCAGCGGCATAAGTTCCTGCCTTGCAAGCAGGCAGTCATGAGTTCGATCCCTGGTACCGGTAAAAATACAAAAAAAAAAAAAAAAAAGATTGCTATAAAGTAAGAATGTAATTAAGTAAGTACAATACAGCTTCATGTGTACCACAGTAGACATGAACAAAGTACTAAGAAAACATACAATGCAGCAAGGAAAAGGATTTCCAACCACAGAGACAACGAGGGGTACTTCATCATGAAGACAATGTTTTGAGTCTTTTTTTTTTTTTTTTTTGTCTTTTTGAGCCAGGGTCTCACTATGCAGTTCAGGCTGGTCTTGAGCTCACTTTGTAGCCCAGGCTGGTCTCAAACTTGCAATGATCCTCCTGCCTCAGCCTCTCAAGTGCTGGGATTACAGGTGTAAACTACCACGGCCGGCGACAATGTTTTCAGTCTTAACAGCTTAATCAATTCGTCAAACACACTAGCTAGTTTGTGGGATTTGCAAGATTTCTCCTTGTTTAGTGGACTAGTTTTTTTTGGGTGGGGGGGGGAGGATGAGGCTTCTGGGAGGGAGACCAGCTGAGGCCTGAAAGAAAAAAATAGGTGAGTATGAGAATAGTTAGAGGTTTAGAATCCAGAATACTGGATATGAGGCACTGAAAAGAAAGGCCAAAGATGATTTCAAATAGTCAAATGTGAACAATAAAGCACATAACAATGCGATTAAATGCATTAGTGAGAGATTTGTTGAAGAGAATTTTTTTTAAAATATTGAGTTTCAAATATTGATAAGATACTGCATGAAGGTATCCAATAGGCAGTTGATACTAGTATGATACTCAAAGAGAAGGTCAGTTAATAGATATACTGGTATGTACTTTTTTTTTTTTTAAATTTTTTTTTTCCCTGGTACTGGGGACCAAACTCACGACTGCCTGCTTGCAAGGCAGGTGCTTATGCCGCTGAGCTAATTCCCAGCCCCGATATGTACTCTATTATTCTAGAGTTCACAGGTGTCACAGACATGAATAAGATTACCCAGTGCCAGCCAGGTGTGGTGGCACACACTTGTAATCCCAGCACTTGGGAGGCTGAGGCAAGGGAATCGTTGCAAGTAAGCTCAAGGCCAGCCTGAACTGCATAGTAAGATCCTGACTCAAAAAGACAAAAAAAAGATCACCCAGCGCAATCAGGAATAAGGAAAAAATCAAGCTGGTGAATGGTTGATAGCCAACATTTCAATGGCTGCCAGACACATGATAGTACTATGTTCCACTCAAAAGATGGTTTTATTTCTTTTTTTTTTTGATGGTCTTATTTTTCAGTAAATCAACAAAAATATCAAAGCTCCATACTTCTCCATTTTTTTGGTTTTATTCTTTCAACACTTGATAAGGTATATTAATGAAATGCATTACAAATGATGCTTTTCTAAATTTAGAGAAAAACTAGTTATTGGAGCAAAAGCCTGGTAAGTTCTCATTCTTGGTCTTCTAAATCTACTACCATCTCTTCACCTTCTCTGATGGCTTATCCTGTATAGTCTTCCATGGTACTGCAAAGCTAGAACATCCTGTTTATTACCAACTAAGTGCTTATTGTTGTATTCAGATAGTCTCAAACTTAATCTCAAATCACTAAACTGTATACTTTAGTTAACTCTTTGTACCAACATAGAGTATGATGTAGTGTTTGTGGAACTAAATGTGTCACTATATTTGTATTTATGACTAGGTTTACAAAAGAATATGGTCATCAGCCTATTCAAACCATGTTAATTTATTGTCAATGTCATAGATAGTCCTTAAATAGCATCCAGACATGAGACTCATGTAACAGCCTAAGAACTCAATTGAGGCTCATTTCAATTATGCATTAGGTACTGTGCCAAGCTCTGAGAGTGAATAATAAAAGTATCAACATGGTCCCTGTCCATGATGCTTACAGCCTGGGAAAGATACTATGCATATGCAAGAGCTAGATTAAGTGTATGAGACAGGTTGATATGAGCATACAAAGAATATAAAAACTTCTGAAAGAACCAAGTTTTTAATAATGCCAAAATAAAACTAATAGATATTTTCAGGTAGATCCTGTTACTAACAATTATGTCATATTGCAATTATTGGCCCCTTCCATAGCAGAGACAGCAATACTCATCAACTCTTCCTCGTGTGCCCCTGTATCAACTAGATCCTTTGCTGTTGGGTGGAATCCTGTGGCCGTTTTGGCTACTGACTGCTGAACAGACTTAGAGAAGAGTTGTGAGGATGAATTCTCTTCCTGCTGTCTTCCCCTACCACTGAGAACATAAAGGACTTGTATGACGTGGTTGATGATCAAGAGCACAGAAGCCTAAATCAATGAATAAGAAGCATGAATGGAAGCACTGGAGAGTTGACTGAACCAATTAGAGAGCTTTATTAGGACACTGAAACCGCCTGTTCTAAAATACCTTCTCATCACTTAATTTTTTTTTTTTTAGTATGAGGGATCAAATTCATGACCTGCACTTCCAAGGGAGGCGCTTATGCCATTGAGCCAAATTCCCAGCTCATCACTTAATTTTTAAAAATATTCTTTTTATTTTGGTTTGCATTCACTCAACAGGCAAATGCTTATTGACCACCTTCAGGTTAGGAATTGTCTTGTTAAGAATACAATAACAAAGGAAGTTTGCAGCCTCAGGGAACTTACATTTTAGTAGGGAAGACAGACTATAATTTCAGGTAGTGTTACTTCTCTTCATTCAGCAGACCCTATCACTTTCTTGTGCACGACCTCAAACCACTCCCTTTTCTCCTTCTTCCTTGCCGTCCCAGCAAAAATTCTAACAGGCTAACTACTTCTTTTCCCTATTTCCCACCTCTGAATACAGTAATGCTGATCGTTACCTTGAAACCCTGGCCTCAACAAGTCCTTGTAGGAGCTTGGCCACACTATTTTGTCTAACCCATTCATCTCCCACCCTAAATCCATTATTTCCTTCATCCCAAAACTGCCAGCAGTCTTCTCCCATACTCATTCACCATCAGTGTCCAATCTCACTCAGAAACTTACAGAACTTCTGAAACCTTCACTACATCTGCCAATCTCCACCCTGAGTCTGTGCATGTATCTTGTGTTCCCTGTTACTGTTGTTTTGAATGTCTCCAAATTTCATGAGTTGTAAACTTAATCCCCTATTTAATTCATATATTGATGGCACTGGGAACTGGGGCCATGGGGAGGTAATTAGTTATGAGGGTAGGGTCTCAATGTTACCTTTACTTTATGAAAGAGACCCGACCTCGCACACTTTTTCTGTCACATCGTAAGGCCTTCCCTACATACTGCCACCACTTTTGGATTTCTCAGAGCCTCTAAAACCATGAGCTAAATACACTTTACCCTTTATCAATTACTTGGCCTTAGGTGTTTTTCTCTAAAAGCAGAAAAACAAACTTTACATTATGTAGAAGTTGTCCATTGTCCTATTTAAGGCCAACTTCCATTTGTGCTTTAGATACCATCTCCTATGGCAGACACAGACATGTGCCACTCAGGTCCCTTCTCAAGGAAGGATCTGCTATCCAGCTGCTGGCCTGCGGTCAACAGACACCATCTGCTAGTTCCTGTTGGACAGGCCAGCACCACAGGGTCATTTTACCTGCAGTCGTACCCTTCTGGGGTCAGCTTATAGGCAAAGACTGAGCAACTCCAGGGTCAAACATCAGAATACTCTGAAGAGTGATACTCACTTTAGAGCTCCTGACAGGGTTGGCTCCAGTGTGATCTCTTTCCCTGCCCAATCTTGTATCCCTTCCCTCCTTTTATAGGTCTTAACCCAATAATAAACACTGGTTGCCCTGAATTCTATTTTAGCATCTGCCTACAGACAACCAACCTGACTTGCCTACTATAGATTACCTTTAGCTACTGTCTCCTCTTCTTGCATCAGCTTTTCCCTCTGATTACTTATCATCATATAAACATGATAACATTTCTTTGAAAACACACTCTCTGAGCTCCATCTCTGCTCCCTTGCACAGCAAAATTTCTGGAGAGTACCTGAATTTCTTGCCTGTCCTTCTCTATTCCCAGTGTTGGCACTTTCATATTCAAGCATCCCTCCCCAAACACACATCTAGAGAAATAGCTCTTGACAGCATCACCGATATGACATTGTTCCATCTATAATCCATTCTCACTTCTCACCTGATCTGTTAGCAGTGTCTGACCCAAATGATCATTATTTTCCTGGAACACTCCTTTGTCACTTGGCTTCTGGGTGGGACACAGCTTTCATCCGATTCTTCCCCTACTTCACTGGCCATAGTTGCTCCTTCTCATCTCTTCTGCTTACTATTCTTCCTCTCTGAACCTATGAAGACTGAAGCAGTCAGGAGCACAGTCCTCAACTGTCCTCACCACTACCTTTATTCACTGTGATCTCATCAAATGCCAGGACTTTAAATACCATCTCCATGCTAACACCTACTAAATTTATACTTGAGCTACAACTTCTTTCCCTGAATGCTACAGTCATATTCAACTGCCTATTCAGAATTTCCATTTTGATACACACAAGAATACCAAACCTAACATGTCTAAAACAAAACAACTGATTACAATCTCCCACCCTTCCTAGAAAGAAAAAGGTCTGTCCACCCCTAACCTTCGAGGTGGGAAGGTTGCACCTGGGATCAAACTCACAACCCTGTGCTTGCCAGGCAGTCACTTATGCTACTGAGCTAAACTCCAGCCCTAAATATTGTTCTTACAATTGTTGCTGAATCAAAAACCCGAAGTTATCTTGCCTTGCTCTCATCACCCACATTGGATACTTTGGAGAATTCTTTAGAGTACATCTAGTTTCTTTCCACTACTCTTACTTTCTCAAGTTCTCTTTTCAAATGTTATCATCTCAAGGATCTGCAAGACCAAATTATACAAAATAAAATCCCATCCACCCTACTGGTACTTCCTATCTCCTTTAACACTTTTTTTTTTATTTTTTGTCTTTTTCTTTTTTATCGGTACCGGGGATCAAACTCACGACCACACACTTGCAAGGCAGGTGCTTCTGCCACTGAGCTAAATCCCCAGCCCCCAACACTTTTTTTTTTTGATATCTGAATCAAACACAATATTTCACGCTTGTTAGGTAGGCACTGTGCTATATTCCCAGGCCAACCTACCCTACAAACAAGTATTTGCTACACAATATATTCACTTGTTTGTTCACTGTGTCAAGTAGAATGCAAGCTTCAAGATGGGAGGCATGTGGTCCTGCTCTAGCTGCTAGCAACATCTATTTTTAAGTGAATGAACTAAATTAAAGAATGGTGTACAAACAGCGATAGTCTTGGGGGAGAAGCATTTGAGCAGAAAGCTAAATGACATAACGGGGTAAGCTATTTGAAGATACACAACGAAAAGCAGTACTGCCAGAAAAAAAAACAAAAATAGCATAAAGCCCAAAAGCATGAATCAACTTGGACTTACAGAAGTACAGAAAGGTTTTGTGTGGCTGAAACAGCTAATCTTGTCAGGGAGATAGCAGAAAGGCTGTCAGCAGCTGAATCATACACGAATTCATATATGCTATAAAGATTTTGGATTTTATTGCAAATATGATGGGAACCAATAGGGGCTTTAAGTAAGACAGTACCCAATTTAGTAATTTTTCTTTAAAACATTGCCTGCTTTGGTTCTTGTGTGACTATTGGGAGGTGAGGTGGGAATAGCAATGAGAAAGAAAATCAATAACAGGGTATACTGTACCCTAAGCAAAGAGCAAAGAAGAGTGCGTAAGATTTCAGCGGAATCATCAGAGAAGGAGACAGTATAAAATTTGAGAGTATCTATCACAGGAGATACTTGTCTTGGACAGAGGTACAAAAGAAAAAAAGGATCCAAAGAAAATATGTAATTTTTGCCCAGAAACCTTAAGCCAGTTTGGGCAAATGTAACGGGACCTATTTCCACCCAGAGCTTGAGGAGTTGGGAGAAAATAAGGGAGTATTAGAAAGAGGGGGAAAATTTGTTCAGTTTTTGAAATGTAGACCTTAAATGCTCCCTAACGAGACAGAGACGGAGACAGACTCTGACAGACCAAGACGGAAACGGAGATTTCTCCTGCGTTTACAGCCCTCAGTTCTGGCGTGGCTCCGTCGCGATGCGAACCTTGCCCGCGGCGTGTCTTCCTCTTCACGGAGCACCTCACAAGTCCTCCCGCAGACGCTCCCCGGGTCCCCCGTGAAGCCGCTCATTTCTTAAATACCCCGCCTCCCCAGGGAACGGCGGCCCACGGCGACTTCAGGGGATTCCTGAACTTCCTCACCACGTCGCCGCGCTCTACGGCCCCGGGCCGCGCGGCATCTTTTCCGGAAACGACCCGCGCAGACAATAAACACGCAGGCCTCCCTGGGCCCTGCCGCTAGGCGCTCCCCGCCCCGCCGCCCTTTGGCGCGCTTCGCTCTCCTTTCGGCACCCCAGCTGCGCCGCGCCGGCGCGCGAAACCCAACGCGCACCCCTCCGCCGGCGGTCGGGAGACCCCCGTGGCCCCGCCCAGGCCCCGCCCCCGCCCCGCGCCCGCCAACTCCCAGCTCGCAGTCCTGATTGGCCGCCGCATTCCCGCTCTCCTTCCCGAACCGCCATTTTGAAAAATCTTGTTGATTCCGCGGAGCAGAGCGCGCGGTGCGAGCGTCACGCCAGACAGCGGCCCGCGCACCTTCTTCCCGGCGTCGGCCTGAGCTGCCTCCCGCGATCCCCTCGAGCTCTCGAGCCAAGCTCGTGGCGGCCGGGACCCGTGGTGAGAGCTGCGTGCGCGGGCACGCCAAGGCTGGGCTGCCCGGTGCGGCCGACAGGAGATGGACGCAGCCATTTGGACAGTGGCCTGTCGCGGGGGAGGGGACGCGGGCGGCCGGAGGCTCCGGGCGGGCGGGAGGCGGCGCAGGCCGGGCGGCGGGCGGGAAGGGCGGCGCGGTTTGCAGCCTCGGGCATCGCTGGACGCCGGGCAGGAGCCGCTCCCGGGCACCATCCGGCTGCGGGAGGAAGCAACTTTGAGGTTGGGACCCCGCGCTTCTCTCCCCGGGTCGGGGAGGGGAGATGACGGCGGCCGCCCCGTCCTGCACGCAGGTCCCCAGCATGTCCTCCTCGGCCCCCGCCGCGGAGGGAGAGGGAACCCCAGCCCAGCCTGCGTCTGAGAAGGAGCCCGAAATGCCCGATCCGCGAGAGGAAAGTGAAGAGGAGGAGGACGACGAGGACGAGGACGAAGAGGAAGAAAAAGGTGGGGAGGAAGTCGCATCCCTAAGGCGATGAGTATTTTTCAGACCTAAGTTGTTTTTTGCTTTTGCGGGGTTTCCAATAAGGAAGCAGCTTTGCTTTTGGCGCCTACAGTCGTTAAATCGGAGTGATTGTTAGCTAAAACTGTTTATGTTGAACAATGGCAGAGCATCGGCTTTGTGCACTCTGATTTTTTAAGAAAATACTTCTTAACGTTGATACGGTTCGGAAACGCAGCTCACTTCCCGCCTCACAGTATGCGCTTCTAACATTTGATCATTTGACAGGAAGTTTGTAAGTCTCAGATCTGTTTTTTGTTTTCAAGTGGTATGCGTGTATGTGAAGTTTTCAAATTGCTAAGTGAATTTTGAGATTTTGCTGGTTTCATGACGCATTATTTTTGCCTCCTGAAGTTATTGTGAGGTTTCATTTTTATATTTACTGAACTTCCCTAGAGGTCCCTTTCTCTAAGGAGAGTTTCTTTAACGAGAAAAGACCAGAGAAAGCTGTTGCTGAGAAAGTAGTTACAAATGAAAGAAGTGAACTGTGAAGAAAGTTATTCTGAACCCGCAGCTGTCTCGGTTTTGATCTGAGTCTGGCCTGCAGAAGAGAGAGTGGTATTAACTGTTGATGGACTGAAACCATAAACAAGACACTTAGTGCTTTGTGGAGTGGGCCTGTGTAACTTACTAAAGATGTGGGCTCCAGTGGCTTTTTGAGTTACGCCAGCTTCCGAAGATGCTCCAACAATTTATAAATCCGTAATGCCACAACTCCTGGCATTCTTTGATGTTACCGGCCCAGTCCGAGTTTCTTTCATATATGGCTACGATTCAGACGAATTGGGAGGAGTTGGCGTTTTTTTTCCAAACCCAAATTTACATTGTCAGTTTAAATTTAAAATCAGACCGCGGTCAGCTCTCTGTAAATAGTGTCTGTAAATAGGGGCTAAAAAAAAAAAAAAGATTGGGCTAGGCTTTTTACCTGAAGTGGCATGTCACCTAATAAGGAACTATTTATTTCCATATTTGACTAAAGCGTTGCATTTAATTGAAAACTTTAATGTGAATTATTGCTTATATTTGTAATATTGGAACTGAAAAGTGGCTGTGTGTTTCATTTCTAGCCAAGTCATTTTCTTTTTTTTCTTTCCCCCTAATGTTTTAAGTCTTTCAGGGGGCTGGGTTGAGATAACCACAAAATTGTGGATTTTCTTTTTCTTTTTTTGTCTTTTGCCTTTTTATTGGTACCAGGGATCGAACTCACGACTGCCTGCTTGCAGGGCAGGTGCTTATCCACTGAGCTAAATCCCCAGCCCCAAAATTGTGAATTTTCTTGGTCAGCAAAAAATTGCATTATTTATGTAGATATACTGTAAATGACAAAAACACTGATGCTTGGAAGGGCAGTCAGTAGGCAGAGTCCAGATTTTCTTTTAGACTAATTGTGAATTTTGACTTTTAACACCCCACTACCACCACTACCACACACATGGCCCAGTGTTGGGGATCAGATCTAGGCTTGTGCATGCTCTGCAGACACTGAGCTACACCTCCAGCCTTTGTAGTTTGTTTTTTTTTTTTAATCTGTACTGGGGATCCATGACTGCGGGCTTGCAGGGCTTGCAGGGCAGGCGCTTATGCAGCTGAGCTAAATCCCCAGCCTGCCTTTGAAGTTTAAAAAAAAAAAATTTATGAAAAGTATGTGTTAAGTTTTGTAGTTGTGTGATTGATTGCACGCGTTTTTTTAAAAATTCTCTTCTCATTTGAGGTGTTTGTGGATCAATTAGCATTCTGAAAGTTCTTGTTCTATCATAGCTCTGGATATTTAATTGGAAGCAAGGCAGGAAAATTAATTTTGACAACTAAAGGGTCAGATTAGCCATGATTTGGGAGGAAGAGGAGAGAAAAAAACTAATGGAAGGATGATTCCTAGTTTTTGTTTTGTTTTGGTATTTTGTCTGACATCTGAGTGAAAGGTATCAGTGTTTACTTTTTCTTTCTGTTTTTTTGAGACAAGGTCTCACTGTGTAGTTCAGACTGGCCTCAAACTTGCAGCAGTCTTCTACCTTAGCCTCTCTTAAGTGTTGGTATTAC